TATGGGAAATAAGCAAATGAAGGCCTAAACCTCATTTTCGATTCAAATTTTTTCTTTGGGTTAACACTTTGATTCCACTTTCACCGGTCATCTCCACTTCCAAACAAGTTAAACTTTCTGAATAACAAGATTTTAGCCTTGTACAACAGCCTTTCTTAAATAGCTTTTGGCGCTAACTGCTTGAATACGAAAAGAATTCTCTCTTAACAACAATTTGTTAAGTTTCTTAATCTTTCCATACAAAAAACATGACCCACGGGCTCATAATACATCGTTACATCCACCCTAACTTTAACCTGCTGATTTTCAATATTTTCCTTACCATTTAATGATACATCGTTTGTTGGAGTGAGACTCAGGCCACCAAACACTTCACCCCCATATACCACATCATTCCAGTTCAACTTGTTTCCCAAGTCTCTGCCGGCAGCCTTGCTCATGGCTGTGATGACGTGTCCGCTTAGTGAAGTCTTCCAGATATTGAGATCTGTCAAGTAGTTGACATAAAAACAATCATCAGATGCACTGAATGGGTTTAACGTCGAACATAATTGACCAATAACAAGCACTCCAGTTCCTTCGATTGTTTTTGCCCTATCTACGGATGATGCGTTGTAAATTACTATTCCATCGATAAAAACAACTAGTCGACCGTCCGTGCTTTCCCAAGTGTAACAGAAGTGGTGCCACGAATCGTCGTAGTATGGAGAGAAATAAATCGATCTGAAACCCAAAAAATAATTTTAAAAAATGATTCTTCCATAGAAGTTTGAGCATAAAATCACTAATTGAAACTGAAAAACAACAAAACTACACCACAAAAACAGCAGAAGATAAAAGTTTAGTCTAGTCTAGTCTAGTTCTAATTTAGTACTCCACATTTACACTGATCAGTTTCTTCTTTTTCAGAAACTCAACTCGTACAAGAGTAATACTTGCGCATTGCGCTGTTTTCCTGGTTAGCTCGCGAGTGCAGCTTTGTTCAAGTCTAAATTTGAGGATAGGAAAAAAAAGACGTTTATAAGACTTCGTAAATGTAATAAGCCTCCTATACTGTTCCTGCCCCCCCCCCTCCCCCACGACAGATCCATCTCTATGCCACATATATTTATGAGAGTGTTAAGGATAATTACGTTTTAACATTAGCAACAAAAATCATGTTTTCTGTTGCTCCATTGAACGTCCAGCGCAAAGCGTTCTTTAACGTTTCTGAATAATAATGGAATGCTGTACTCTTTTTCGTCCATTTTCTTCTTGACCAGAAGCAAATTGTTATCTCTCTTAACGAGGTGGTTGTGAAAGGCATCTTGATGTACTTTTCACCAGAAGAAGATTCAAAGTTGGCGGTCTTTGATACATTAACTATAGGAAATATAGATCACATATCGTAAAAATTCCGTTGTGAAGAAAAAACTTTGACAAAAACTACCTCATTAACATTATCAACGGCAAAGACCAGAACAACCAGTGCATGAGAAACAACCGACAGCGATGACTGCAACATCAGCAGCAACTTGCATGCCTGAACTTGATCATTTTCGTAAACAACAAAAACTACAAAGAGCAACGGAACAGCAACAGCAAGGAAAACAACCAAACCTTCCTTAAAACCTTCCTTCCTTGTTTGTTTATTTGTTTGTTTATTTGTTTGTTTGTTTGTTTCTTGTTCGTTTGCTTGCTTGCTTGCTTGTTTGTTTGCTTGTTGTTTGTTTGTTTGTTTATTTGTTTGTTTGTTTGTTTGTTTCTTGTTCGTTTGTTTGCTTGCTTGCTTGTTTGCTTGCTTGCTTGTTGTTTGTTTGTTTGTTTGTTTTAAAAAGAGCGACAACGACAGCAATAGTAGCTGCAGAAAAATCTTCATTGTCGATCATAACCACCATTATCTTTACCATCAGCAACAACGACAGCAATACAAGGACAACCGCAACAGCAACAGATTGACAGGGACCACTAGTGCAGGTGTAGCAGTAATAGCTACAGCGAAAACAGCAGAAATATACAATAAAAAACAGAGGCAATTTTGTAAAAATACGTGTGCCAAGAAAAGTTTTAGAATACTGAGGGGGAGAGGAAGGGGGCTACTGACAATGCCCACGCACCTTTGTCCTTAAAGTGCTTATAAGCCTTTATACGCAATATTTTCAGAATTGATTCTTTAAATAGTAAATAGTTGATTGTGAAAATAATTCGTCATTTGAATGTCGGGTCTTTGAGATACGAAGGTTTATATTTCCAATATGTAAATGACTAGCTATGACGTAACATAAGGGATTTGAGTTATTTTGTGGCAACTTTTAAKATTGAACAYTGGACATTTTTTGAAAACAAATTTGTAAGAACCTTTACGTGAGTCACGAGTAAAAGGGTGATGCTTTTAAAATACTGTAATCCAGAACGAGTGCAGTGTTGTATATTAAATGGTCCCTTATGTTACGTCATAGTCATTAAAATATTGGGAATATAAACCTTCGTATCTYAAAGACCCGACATTCAAATGACGTAATGTTCTTACAATCAACTATCCACTATCTAAAGTATCAATTCTGAAAAAATTGTGCAAAGGCTTATAAGCACTTTAATAGGAACTTTAAGATTTGCAACCGGAAGAGTAATAATTTCTCTTTGGGGTCCTGTTCATTGGAGCTTTCATTCAAAACATTGTCAGTAAAGTCAACTCATCCACAGGGAAAACAGATTTTAAACGGATCGGACTCGAAACCCAAAGTGCCGTAATTTACACTTCCGGTAGATGTCTCCGTCGCAGATTTTGCGAATCTTAAAGTCCCTAATAAACAATTTAATACGCATGAAGTCCCAATTTGGGAACAAAGGGTAGATATACTTACATGCACAGACCGAGGGCATCGCTTGGTTAACCAATCCATGCGATTCTTTTACGGAAAATATCCTCCAATCAACAAGATTACCAGTCTCACTAATGCACTGCTTGGACAAAGAGAGGATTTCGCTAGGTGACTTGACTGCATCCCACATGTTAAAACCGTACATTCTTCCCATAAATGAATCGCTTGCATTGAACTCCAAACCAACTGAGGTGGCCTGGAGCTGACCAATGATTAACTTGCCAGTCCCATCAATGGTCAAGCTACTACTAACGTCCTTCTTTATAGATCGTATTGCTCCATTGATGTAGAACTTTAAACTTCCTTGAATGTTTTCCCAGGAGAAACAGAGGTGATGCCATGTTCCGTCGTTAAGTGGAGAAGTATGCACCTCGCTAGACGAATAATAGTGAAGTAGCTTAATGTAAAGATCGTGGCAATCCGGAAAAAAGCACCAAAATTGGTACAGAGTTCTCTCATGTCACTTGAAACAAATTCAGAAGGGGTGCCAGTGAATTTCATATCGGGGGAGGGGGATGGTTTGAAGAGTGGGTAAATTTTTCTTGGATAGTGGAGAGGGGTGGGTCATATGTTTATATGTTTTGCATTCTTTTTCTTGCCATTGCATTCTTTGTTACTACAATTTACAAAAAAACAACTGAAAATCCCCCCTGACAGCAGATTTTGTGGCACCCCTTCTAAGTATGGTCTACAGGGCCTAAGTTAACACTAAGCCAAATTCCATACTTTCTTCACGTCGATAACTATAATGCCGAAATTTGATCTTTATCCACTTTACTATAAAATAGGCCCTCAGTCAATAAAAGATAAAAAATTTTGATTTCAATAAGAGTCACTTCCTAATACATGTAGAATATGCGCGCCCTTTTTTAAGACCATATTTTATCATTAATTTGATCTTAGTAACAAACTCATTTGTTTCTAACCTTGGCACGTTGTTGACTATAATCTCACACTTTCCTGTATTATCGCATCGTATAGCTAGCATGTTTGCTGCATTTTTTACAGAATACGAGAACAACGTGTGCCAGCCAGCAGTGACATAATTAACCCAGGTACACATCGTTAGTTTGCTCACTTGGCTGCTGTTCAAGGACACTGCGCTTATGACGTCACTGGTTGATTTACGTGGGAATGTCAGCGTGTAATCTTTAGCATTGTCTGAGAATCAAAGTACACAACGAAATGTTATATTTTAACCAAAAAATATAAAGATGTTAAGCTCTTCTCGTAAGATTGTGCCATTTTCATCCATGTTTTCTTCCCCTCATCTACCCATTACTGCTTCTCCTCCTCTGCCCTTTTTTTCTCCTTCAGTTCCGAATTTCCTATTTCATTCCTCTTTTCTCTCCCTCCCCCCATCCCTTTCTCATTCCATCAACCCCAACCACCCAACAACCCCAACCACCCAACAACCCCAACCACCCAACAACCCCAACCTCCCAACCACCCCAACCACCCAACCACCCAACCACCCAACCA